TTTCCAAAATTCATTTAGTTCTTCACTTCTGTACCTGCATCTCACCTTGTAGTGCTGCATTTCCAGGACAGGTGAAGTCAATTCCTGTCAACATGGAAAGTACTCCAGGATGAAAAGCACCATCTACACAAGAGGATGTAGTCTTGTACAGTAGTGAAATGACTGCAGTGGTCCACAACCATGAAGGAGTTTATAAGGTCCTGAAATGTTAAAGGTACACCTCTGGTCTCACAATCCAAGTAGTTCCAGGAAACTTGGCAAGTTAAGAAATCCACTCCATTCTGTGGGAGTGGAAAAAGTTACCAAGTAACCACATCCCTGTCCCCAACTCCCCTCCACAATGCTATATGTGAAGTAGTAATAGTTTTCATTTAGAACCTACAAGCCAAGTCCCTTGAAATAGGGTTCTTGTGGAATCAAATCTTTACCTCAAGTATACAGGCAAGACATACAGGACCATCTAAAATGCCTTTTCGGTTGTCCAATACCTTGCATTGATCCATGAAACCATTTCACAGGTACTTTCATAGTCTTGTGCTTAAGGCTGTACCACCTCAATTCCATACAGAAGAGAAGCCAACTAACCCTCACCTAAAGCAAGTCTTTAGAATACCAAGTAACCACACCTCCACATTGCTTGGTTTTTTGCATGCAACACCCTAACCTACATTCAGCATCACTGACTAAGTTCCGCAATAGCAGTTTACTCCACAAACCAGCCAACAATCCATACATCCTCTCAGTGCATGTAGCACTCCCTACTGGACAGCATCTCTTACTACATTTCCAAACCACAGCACAGCTTGTCAAGTTCCACAGATGATTAGCTGGCTTCAGTAAGTGCTCTGGTTGAATTTTCCAAGCCATTACCATCACACTCCTCATTATTATAGAGCCACAGCACCATTAACAACACAGCTCAACATAAATAAATTACCCTGTTCCTCTCCAACACAAAGCACAATCTAAATATCTTCCTTCCCAGCTTCACTTTTATAAGCCTCTTCATTAATTCCAGGGGTTTGGCTAATTCCATGGGAACCAATCCCAAAAGCCCTAAAATTCCCACATGGAATGCCCAGGTGTGTCTGTCTCAATAATGCACACCTGTTTCCAAATCCCTGCCTGCTCAGAGGCCATCTTGGCTCAGAGAAACACCACAGTCTGGGCTTCAGCCAAAATGCAAGGATCCTACAGAAGACTTCTAGGGACACTACTGCGTTGCTCCAATAAACTTTCCTTGGACATTATTAGAATTGTGTTCTTTCTAAACCTTTCAGCATACCTCAATCCAATTCAGAAATAGATTAAGAGAGAAAGATAATGATTTGATTATGGTTTATATATATAGATATTTCTTTATACATATACAGATTTGTGATTTTAACTCTTAAATCACTTTTTGCCTAACATTATTTCTGTTCCTACATCAGAACACTTGTCTGTGCCTGCTTTGATTGGACTGGTGTTTTCAGTTGACGTATCGCAAAGGAGAAAGACAGTACTGCAGACCCATTATAAAAACATGCATTGCTAATAGAGTCCTCTGTATTTAAAAATAATAATGATTAAAAGATTGTTGTAGTTTTTACTTAAGGAGATTGAGGCATTTCAGTAAACTAGCAGGGTGCAAATAAGTTGCAGTTATACAGTGTGAACTACTTCAACATGAACCAAGGCAATTGTGAAAGGATGCCATGGGGAAGTGCATTTAAAAGTTCTTTACACCAAGAGTTGTGGGAGAATGGCTCATGTGATCCAGCTATTTCGTTGAAACCAACAGCCTGTCTTCTTTAGAGCAACGACTGCATGAGATTATTGAATCAAACAGATACCAGAGACCAGGGCGACATGGGTTGAATACGGTTTGAACTTTCTCATGTTCTTGTAACTTCTTAAATGAACACATCAGCTGCATGACTAATAAGAAGTACATAGGTAGTAAATTAACTGTATATTAACCATTTTACAGATGAAAAATCTGACTTGGTGCAGCATTAAGATAAGTCAGGTTATAGAATTGTAAATGTCCTGCAAAGATCTTTAAACCCCACAGCTCGCCTACATATTTCTAAATTCTTTAATTCACATTCCTGTGGTTCTCAGATGCTAATAACCATTAAATGTACTATGATTACTCAGATGGCCATGGAAATAAAACATTTTGAAACTTGTAACTCATGGGGGCTTCTGAAAACACGCTGGATTTCTTCCGCAAGTTTTCAGGCGGAGCCAAGAAAAAAGCTACCTGCACCGTCAGTCTGTAGCCACGCCCACTCGGGTGACATCAGTCGCAGGCCACGCCCCGCGCACCTGTCCGCCAGGTTCAGCGGGGGAGAAGGGAGCTGGGTGAGTTTGTTCCGCGTCTTTTAGCATTTTATTATTTTTACTTTATTTGAATGTAAATAAAATGTAACTAATGTAATTCTGAAGTCTAAACCTTGTAGGAGCAAGGGGGTAAAACCCGTAGTTTCTTTGGGAGCTAAATGGCTTTTTTTTAATGTCTTTTCTTTTCCAAATCTTTTATTTTAACAAGCCACCTGTGTTTCACAGACAACACGTGTTTTCCTCTTACATGGAAGAGAAGCTCTGTTGTGGCCGTGAAGACACTGCTGTTTTGGCAGAATGAAAACGTCTCTTTCCGTATGCTCCTTTATCAAACACTTCGTGAACTTTGTTCGCAAAATCAAGCGTGTGCATTTATCCAAACCGACACCTAGAATTGTAAAGTTTGTTCATGATTTTCCAGACTATATTGTGCGGTAAAAAAAACGCTTCTAATACTTTTTAGTCTAAATGGTCTTAAAATTCTAAATTCTGCTGTTTTTGTGTTTCCACTTTAGTGTTTTCGAGCAGGACATGATTCACACTAAGTAATGGGAGTCTAAACGTAAGTATAAACGTTTTATTCATTTCTTTACACGTATTTTACTGAAATATATTCTGCGCTATCTGCCCTGGTGAAAACGCCGTTCGCTACTAAGAAACCTTGGTTTAAATTATCTTTAAATGGTCTTAATTATCTTTACATGTTTTCTTGTGTTTCCAGTTTGGTGTCTTCGGGCAGGACATGCTTGGCTCAGCTGCTGGAATTAACCGTGTAAGTATAAACGTTTTTATTCTTTTCTACGGATCCTATTGAGGTACACTATATCTGTACCTGCCGAAAAGTGTTGTTGGAAAACACGATGCACCTTGTCAAAAGAAAACTCAAACTAGGTGTGATACTAGATTTCTCCAGGGCAGAAATGGTTTTGACCCGACAACACTGTAGGCCTGCTGGTTAAAGAAAGCAATTTTCTGCTAAAACTGCGATCACTTCAGCTTTTTGATGCGCG